GGTTGATACCAGCGCCAGCGGGAGTGGAGCCAGGAGGGCCTGGCAACTGGGAGGGGGTGGGAAGGGAATGGAAGGCACCTTTCCCTCAAGCCTTGTAAAAACATTCCGATTTTCATCCTTTTTACCCCAAGCCATCACAGGTCTAAATATGCCACTGGGTAATTTTATGAGCAAACTATGCTATACATCACACGGTTTTATGTTCCTAAATTAACAAAAGAACTTTAAATTTATATGGAGCTCTTAAAAAAAAAAAAAAAAAGAAAGAAAAAAAGACCACACCATGTTTCCATGTATTGCTGTACCCCCAATTCCCTCTCCTTCTAATGTACACCCTAAGTGGCTCCAAAATTTCTGCTGGTTGATGTGGGGCCCACCAAGGAGAGACCATTCCAGACACAGCCAAGGGACAGCCTGGTTCAGGATCCCTGCCAGAGGACCCCACCACCCTATAGAAACAGACTACAGCGCCAGAGCTGAGGAAGGGGCGGTGGCTTCTACCAACCCAAACAGGGCAACCCAATGTCAATAGCCTGGCTCACCTCCAGGCCTCCCCCATGTTCAGCTGCAAGACACGAGGGTGGACCAGAGAACTGGAGCACCCCCAGCGAGGACATGAAGGAAGTCCTGGAGTGGCCCCTCCCACACAAGGGCACACCCAGGACAAGGGATCACCCAGTGTTTGGGGGAGCCCACAGCCAGCTCCCAGTTCTGCTGAAACTGTGCAAGCGGTGTGGCTGGCCAGCCTGGCTCTGGACCTCAAAGTGCCCTCACCTCTGCCCAGCAGCAGAGCCAGAATCCAGGTAGCGTAGTGACCATTTGCTCCCAGAGCACAAAAGCTGCTCTCACTCCAGAGTCCAAAAGATAAGCAACCAGGGACTTACCGCCCACAGGGCTGCATCAGATTCCCACCCAAGGCGTAAGAACGCCTGGCGAGGCCAGCAAAGGAGTTTTAATGAGAACCAAGCTGGGGCGTGGGACCCCGGGCAGGCCCCTCCAGGAAGAAGGGCTGGGCTGCAGCTGGGACAAAAGGGCCCAAGGCTCTCCCTGTGACAGATGGAAATGTGGCAGCCCCTCAGCATTTCTCAGGGGTATCGAAGATTAATTAGTGACTGCCTGCAAAGTGCTAGATGGGAGCCGAAATGCTGGTCCCTGCTGAGTTTCTGAGCTGTAAATAAGCAGCTTTCCCCATCACAACTAAAATAGCAATGTTTTCCTTTTCTGACTACAATCCCAGCCGGCCCATGATGCCCCCAGAGCAGAACCAGGGCGACTCACACGACCCGATGACAGCTTCCCATGACAGCCAGAACTGGGCACGAATCCCTCCCTGCCGGCACCCTCGGGTGCCCTCCCAGCTTGGGTTCCTGAGACACCATCCAGGGAGCTGGGAGCAGGCGGCTGCAGGTCCATGGCTCATCCTGGCCATTCCAGGAGGGCCCTGGCAGAGCCCACCCCACGCCACCCTGTCTCCCATTGGGGGTTCCCTGGAAGTAGTAAGGGATGGGAGTGCAGAAGGAAACCCGGGCAACTCCCTAGCTCTCCTTCAGGGGGCGCCCCATTCAGAGGGCAGAGAACAGCTCCCAGCGGCCTGCCTGGGTGGCTGGGCAAGGAGTCCACCTCCTCCTAGAGCAGCCAACAGCAGGCCACATGGCCAAGGACCAAGCCCGGGCCCTTGAGGGACAGCTTTCCTGGCAGTGGACAGCGCATCCCAAGAGGCGGCTGGGGTCAGCAAGAGTTCAGCGTGGGGCCAGGGTGGGGCAGGCTGACAACAGAAGAGGCCTTCCCTCTGTGAATGCCAGAAACAAGATAAGGGGCCAGGAGGGCGCCAGGGCCAACACTGAGGGCCAACTCCCTCCCTCTTGCGTCCAACAAATATTTATGAAGCAAGGACTCTGGAGCCAGACCACCAAGGGTCAAGGCCCGGCTGTAGCACTCACAGCTCCGGTAACTTCCACCTCTGGGGGCTCTGGGCACACTACCGGCTGCCAGCCAGGATGCAAGCCACTGGTCCCCACTCTGAGAGCTGCTGTTAGCTGACACACAGAATTTGGGTCTGGCAACAAACGGGACGCAGCGCAAGAGCGGCCAACACCTCTTCCTTCTTACGATTGCCATTTGATCTTTATGATCATTCTTACTAGCCTGGCACGGAGCCTGGCATTAGAGAGACTCGGATCCCTGCTGGCACAAAGCTCTGACTGGAGCAGCTGGGCTGAGTCCAGAGTCCGGGCAAGCTCCCCCTTGCCCCAGTGGCAGCAGAGAGGGACCACACCTCCACTCTTCCTTGTAGGGACCTCCCCGACCTGCTTTCTCTGCAGAGCAAGGATTGTGACCAGACCTCCTTCCCCCAGCCTGTGAGCAAACACCAGCAGGACAGACACCTGCAACCTTGGGCAGGGAGGGCAGAGGCCTGGCCCCAAGACCTGACCTAAAGTCGCTGCTCACCCACTAACAAGCTCTGTAATGATGCCTGTTAATTTTCTAAATATTTATTTATTTATCTGAGAGAGAAGGAAACAGACATATATAGAGATCCCACTGGCCCAAGCGTCCACAAATGGCCAGAATCGGAGAGCCAAGGTCTTTCAGGTCTTGGGCGTCCCTTGCTGCCTCCCACGCACTGCACCTGCAGGGAGCTGAAATCAAGGCCAGGGCCTGGATGACCATGGGAGTAGCAGACCTTGCTCAGACCAGAGAGCAGCACCTTAGGCGTGGCAGCCCCTGTGGCCAAGGACACGAGACAACACAGGAGGAGTGTGTGTGGCTGAGGCCCAATTAAACTTTATTCACAGAGCCTGCCTACCCCTGTCCTACAGAAATCTGGGGAGACAGAAGCACACCCCCGTCTTACAGAGAGAAAGCTGTAGCTTTGCAGAGCCCCTCGCTCACCTGGTACAAGGTGACAGCAAAGGAGGCTGGGTGGCCCAGGGCTCTCACCGGTCAAACAGGAGGAGCTGGTGCCTGCTGCCAGCCTCGCCTGGAGCTGCCCAGAGGCCACCAGATGGACAATGCCTGGGATGGGCCCCTGAGTCCTGAGGCTCCAGAGGCCTTGGCTGTCCTATCAGGCCCCCCACAGGCCAGCAGCATCAGGGCACTGACAGCCCCTTGTTCTGGAACCACACTTCTCACCTCTCCGAGTCTCCCCGGTAGACTCTGCTCCTGCAGGAAGCTGAGGGCTGACTTTCCTTAATTGCTTTCTATTTCCCAGCCTGACACTTCCTCCTCCTCTCTCCAAGGCTCCCATGTGAACAGAATGGGTCACCTGATGCATGCATGTGCGCCAGCAGCCACCACGGCAGGTGAGGTGGGGTGTAGATTACAAACACCTGTGCTTCCAAGATGCTCAGGACTTAATCTGTGCCAGGCTCTCCCAGGCTGCGGGGGAGGCACCAGAGGCTCCAACTCTGCCCAGTAGAGGAGGGACCTGGATGACGTGCTCTTTCAGCAGCTCTCGCCTTCTGGAGGGAGGGGAGGAAGAGCACCCACAGTTCTGGGAGCCCCAGGAGGACTTGGGGATTCCAGGTCCTATTTTGGATTGGACCTGTGAGAGCAAGCACAGATGGAAAGAGAAAAAGGCTGCACGTTGCAGTTTGTGGAGGAGGGAGGGGGAGAGCGACCACCAAGGAGACGCTGGAAAGCAGGGGACGCTGACCTGGACAATTTAGGGCAAGGGCCAGGCCATGAGAAGTTACCAGCCCGCTCAGGAGTGCACATTTTAGAGGAAAGCTCTCCTGCTTTGAAATATGTCTTGTCAGCCAGCAGGACCCTGATGCCTCTGTTGCTGCTCCATGAACTTCCAGAAACATCTGCCCTCCGGAGGTTGTGTCAGGGCAGACAGCCCTCTCCTACCTGCCCTCGGGCGGCCGTGCCAGGGATGGGGAGGGAGGACCCACAAACCCAACTCCCCATGCCTGGCGGTTGCGCCTTTCCAGCAGCCATTGGTGCTGAAGTGGAGGGTCGCCCTTTTCCTTCCCACCGGCACCCCAGTACCACCCCACAGCCCCAAGCACCCCGACTTCAATAGCAACCGAATGGCACAGCCCAAGGCAGGCAAACTCAAAGCAAAGGGAGCCCAGCTAAAAACACAGTACATTCCCAGAACAAGCGGCCGCACGCAGAGCGGCTGGCCCGACCAGCGCTCACGTGGCCCACCTGGGGCGGTCCTGGAGTCACAGTCCCTGACCCCGAAGGGCACTGCGGGGGAGGCGCCGCCAGCTCCCAGGATCCCCTCGCAGAGGTCCCCGGTTCACCAGCCTCTTTTTAGGGTTTCAACGTGCAAATAAGGTGAATGGTCCAGAGGGCTCCCACCGGCTTCCACCGCCACCCCCCTCTACCCCTCCCCGCCTCCGTGGGCTGCAGGCGTGACTTGCCCCGAAACAGAAAGTTGCAGGGCAGGCTGCTGTCAGCGCGCAGGGTTAAGGCAACAGGAAGCCACACCGACCGCCCTCCAGAGCTTCCCCGGCCCCCTCCTCCGACCTCGGCAGAACAAAACCTTCCAGGGAATCCCAGGCAGGAAGGGGGGCGGGGACCGGCTAGCCGCGCTCGCGCAGACACCGCGCCAGGGGGTTGGCCACAGGGACCGGGAACTGAGCCCCAGACCCGGGCTGGGGAGGGGAGGGGGGAAGGGCTGCCACCCAATGCGGCGGCCTGCGGGAAAGTAACTTCACACCCGGCGCGTAATTCACCTCTCTGGGCGTGAGCGCCGCACTGCCGCCGCGGAGGAGCCGGCTCCGGCTCCGGGCAGACAAAAGGAGCGAGACGCGCAACCCCCGGTGGCGACGGCGCAGCGGGGGCGGCGGGCCGGGTGGGCGCTCCCCGCAGCTCGCTGCGGGCCTGAGTGCGGCGGGAGGAGCCGGGGCCGCACGCACGCGCTGGGGACAGGGACCCTGGCCGACCTACTGGCCCCAACCCCGGCTAGGGGCTGGGGGGGCAGGGGCGTGAGGGGACCGGGCGCACCGGCGCCGCGCGGGACCAGGGGTGGTGCGCAGCTCGCTTACCTGGTAAGTAATACAGAGGCGGCTTCAACCCAAACATGATTCAGGCTAGAATTCCATAGTGACCGGAGGGACGAAGGACGAAAAAAAAAATATATATATATATATGCATATATAAAAACCCAGCAGCAAAACAAAAAGCACCGTCCACGCCACGGCGCTGAAAAATGTCCAAAACAATAAAATAAAGGCAGAAGAGCGATCTCGAGCGTGCCGGAAAAAATAAAATCAAGCCTTCCTGCCGCCCCCCCCCTCCCCGAGGTGATCCAAGGGCTCAGCCTCGGGCCGGGCAGCTTCGGCCACCTCGGCCCTGGCAGGTCCACAATGAGGGAATTGACGACCACGACGGGCCGGAGCCGCCGCGGCCGCTGGTGTCTTCGCCGCGTGCGTATTTTCTGCCTTTTGGACTTGAGATGCAAATAAAAAGGGAGGGGGAGCGCGGTGGAGGGAAGCAGGCGGGAGAGCGCTGAGCAGCCAGAGAGAAGCAGGGGCGGCGAGGGCGGTGAAATCGGGGGCTAAGGTCTCAGGGACTCCGGGGAGAGGGACCGGGGCAGGCAGGGAGGGGGCAGAGAGGCCCTAGGGACGAGCGAGCAGCGGCCTCCGCTCGGCGCAGCCATTTGAATGTCAAGGGCGAGGGTCAAGAGACCTGTTCCCCACAGGGCTTCCCGTCCAGAACCCGAGGGGAAAAGGGAGGGGGCGGAGGGGTATCTCTGGTTGCCAAGGAGAAACCGGCTTTGTTTTCGTTTCCCCTTAGCTACTGGGAGAGGAGGGGCGGGGTGGGAGAGGAGGAGGAGGGAGGGGGCGAGCGGGTGGGGGAGAGGGGAAAATTAATACCCAAACAGCCGCGAAGTAGGAGGGGGCGCGATCCCCCTCACAAGTAACGGAGGCAGCGGCCGCCAAACAAGTCCGGGGCCGGTGGCTCTCTCCGCCGACACCCAGCCAACACACCCCCGTGATCTCCGTGGCTCGGTGTCCGACCACGGACTCGGAGATAGACTGAGAGGGGGCGGGCAAAGGGCGCAGTACTAGCGGGCTAGGCGCTCGGGCAGGAGAGCGGGAGGCGAGAGCGCACGGCGACGGAGAGCCCCTCGATCAATTTTCATGCAAGAATCATTATCGGTAAATTGGAAAGCTGGCTGCCTGACAGCGGATTTGTCTCCCCTAATGAAAGCGAAAGGGCAGGGGCGCGGCGGCGACGGCGGCGGCGGCTCCTTCCGTCTCCACGCGGCGGCTTCCAAGAGCTCAGAGCTCCGCAGGGCGATAATAATAGTTTCACTTGCGAGCTTCTCCCCCCCCCCCCAACCCCCCGGGCCTGCAGCTCAGGATCCCGGTTCCCCTCTGCCGACCCCGGGAGGGCGCTGCACCGGTGGTAGGGTGTTCCTGCGGCCCCAGACGCGGGCCCGTTTGCAAACAGTGGGCGGCCGCGGGTGCCGCCGGTTCCCCCTCCGCTGCCCAACTCCGCGCTCTGGCTGCCCGCCCGGCCGCCCTCCTCCTTCCCTCCCGCCCTCCCCACCCACGTCTGACAGCTGCGGGAGCCGGGCGCGCGCCCTCCGCCCGCCGGGAGGAGGCTCCCCCGCAAACTGTACATGGCGGGAGGGTGGCGGCCCGGGGCCGCCTTCGGTGAAACCCGCATGGGGCTGGGTAGACGAACCAGCCGGCTGCCCCGGGCCAGCCCCTCGGGCGAGCGGTGCGCTGCCTCCTCCACTTTCCTCTGCCCGCTCACCCCACCCCCGAAAAAAATCCCTGTTGCAAGTGTAATCAAGTGCTTGATACCATCTCCCGCACTCTGCCTGCGCTGGTACATTATCAGCTCCGGGAAAGCATGCTTCCAGGCAAACGGCCCTAATAAACGCTATTACTGCGACTCCGCGAGCCCTGGCCGCACCATAGTAACGCGAGCCCCAGCTGGTGAGGCTGGAGAAGACGGCCCCCGCATAGGGCGCACCGGCGGGCGCGGGCCGCTCTCTCGGCTCCCCACACTGCCTCTCCTTCACACCATCTCTGGAAGGCCCCATGTGATAATTCCCCAAATCGAAGGGGAAAAAACCCTGCCGCCAAACCACATCCTGTGCGCTCATTGTCCAGCCCAGCAATTTTAAAGAGACAGGACCCATTTACCCACGCGCCCCCTTCAATGCATGCTGCAAAGCTGCCTCTAGGTGCCACTGGTTATTTGCAAGCCCCTTTACTTCCAAGAAGTGCCCCCTCGGTGGCACAGCCAGCAAGAGGCACGACTTGATGACCCTAAAGGAGCCACCTTTTGACCCCGGACGCGATCGTGGGGGTGGGGGGAGCGGGAGAGGAGAGGCCTGAGTCTACAGGGGCACTCAGCGGGGAACCACGGTCCCGCCAGGCTCGGGTTCCTGCCCACACTCGCCGACCACTGCGTAAATCAGGGGACCGCAGCGGCAGTCCCGGGGTCCCTGCTAAACCCGTTGATTTCGGAGGACAGCTGACCGCGCGAACGTTACGCCCTACAGAAAAGCGTTGGGAGATGAGCTGGGGGGGTGGTGCCTGGCGGGGCTCCGACCCTCCACGGTGCCACTCACCAGCCCTCACCCACCCCACCCGGAACATCTGAAACACGCGGGGCGGAGCCGAGGAAGGCGGCGCTCCTGCCCGCTGCCGCCTCTCTCCTGCTGGGTGCAGAGCTCAGGCGGCAGCCTTCTGGGGCCCGGCTGCCCAGGGGTTCCATGAGCAGCTTTTAATCCTTTCCAGCGCCCCTCCCCGCGGAGGGCGCACGCTGGTACCCGGGAGGGCGCCCGGGGCTGCTGACCTGGAGAAGACCGGCCGCTCGGGGCCGCCCGCGCGCGCCGCCAGCATCTGGCCGCTCCGCCCTGCTCTGACCCCGGAGGTCGCACCCGGCCCTCGGTGTCGGCGGCCCTTTGTTTTCCGGGGCTGCGGTGATGGTACTGCCGGCTGCCGGCTGCCGGCTGCCGGCTGCCCGCCGCAGTGAGAGGCAGGCGGTCGCCCGGCCCTGGTCCAGCCCCCGCCCCCGCCCAGCTCTGGCCCGCAGACAGCCCGGGAGCCCTGGTGTGTGTAGGGGACGTCAGGAGTGTGCCAAGTTGCAGCAGAGGTCGAGTGAGCAGCCCTTACCAGCTTGGAAAGTCTGGTCCTGGTGGGGAGGGGGAGAAAAGTATATAAAGACCCTAAACTATCAGTTTCTGTTGTCATCCTTTTATTGGTTTTTAATTCTCCGGGATTACGCGAACAACAGTAGTAATTAATACTAAACCTTCCTCTACTGTATATGCTAATGGCAGAAGCCATAAAAATTAATTTGCAAACATGTCATTACACAATAGCTGTACAGGCAATAAACCTGTAATTATGGGCCAATCACGGAGAGGGTACGCTGGGAGGGATGCCCCCCCAATCTGCTGGGTGCCCCCCTTCCTCTGCCAAAGTGGGGAAACCCAGGCCAGCAAGCTCACCTTCTTAGGGAGCCTACTGTGTGAAAAGACTCCAGCTGGGGGAATGGGAGCGGGGCCTCCAAGCCCACCTGGACCAGCCTGGGCCAGGGCCCTGGCTTGTGCAGGGCAGGTCTCCCCAGCCTGCGGCTCTGGGGGGCCAGCTCCCGGCTTATCTGTGTTTCCCTATCAGAGACAAACAACTCTCCCTAGCAAGGATCTGAATTATCTTACAGTGCACAGGCCAAGCCCTGATTGCTTCTAGCCACACCCTGGGGAAGGAGGCCTGGTGAGATTCTAGTGATAGCCTTCCTGCTCCAGAGGGGTTAGTGACACTTCCTGGTGATGGGGACCTTTGTAAGGCATCCGTGCCAAGACACTAGCCACGTGGACTCCCTGCTGGCTTTCTCCTGAAAGGCTAGCTGTTTGCCAGCATGTGGCTGAGCAGCCAGCAGGGTGGGCTTGCCCTTTCCCACTGGCCCTGGCCACTTGGCTGTGGCTTGGAATCCATGATTACAATGACTCACTCCTGGGGGGCCAGCCCCTCTGTGGGTAGGAAGGGTGGGGACCAACTGCTAGAATGGGGGGGCTCACCTGAGGGCTCCACCCCAGGAATTCTGTCCCTCCCTCCCTCTTTGCTCACCTCCAGGGAAGAGTCAAGCAATGGGATGGCTAGTTGGCAGAGCTGGACCACCCAGAAGGCTTCCAAAAGACTGGGGACCCCCCCCCCCCGCCAGGGCACACTGGCCCTCTCCTCCCAGAGCCACCCAGCCCAGGCTGCAAGTCAGCCCAGGTCAGGGCAGAGCCGGGGCAGACAGCTTGCAGCCAGAAAAAAGAAAATAGACTGCTCCCATCTCATGGGCAAAAAGGCAAGGGCAGGCATCTCCCAGAAGGTGGCACAGAGCTCCCTTCACACCCCGACTCAGAAAGAGGGGCCCGGGGCCCGGCAGCGTGGCCTAGCGGCTGAAGTCCTCACCTTGGGCGCGCCAGGATCCCATGTGGGCACCGGTTCTGGTCCCGGCGGCTCCACTTCCCATCCAGATCCCTGCTTGTAGCCTGGGAAAGCAGTTGAGGACGGCCCAAGGCTTTGGGACCCTGCACCCTGTGGGACACCTGGAGGATCCTGGATCCTGGCTTCAGATCGGCATAGCATCGGCCGTTGCACTCACTTGGGGAGTGAATCATCGGACGGAAGATCTTCCTCTCTGTCTTTCCTCCGCTCTGTATATCTGACTTTCCAATAAATAAATAAATCTTAAAAAAAAAAAAAAAAGAAAGAAAGAAAGAGGGGCCTGGACTCTATCTGGGCGGTCACAGTCACACAGCACAGAAGAGCTGACTGATATTCATGACTTCCTGGCGGGAGCCAAGGATGCTTGGATGTGCTGGGGTACCTGGGTGGTCAGCTGCGCCCACTGACATTACACCATGGTTTTCCACACACAGCCAGGAGGCAGCAGAGCTGAAGTCAGAAAGCACCTTAGTGACCCTGAGGCAGCTTGCCGTAGGGCTTGAGGGCCCAGCCAGGGGTGTCGCTCCCACTCCCCAAATCGTCCTACATTCCAAGAGGGTGAGGATGTGTGGCCACTCAGGTGCCTGGCACAGTCACACCACACAGAGTTGTCATGAACCCAGTGTCTGGCATAATAGCAACAGTGACACTAACGGCAGTCCCGGAGCAGGCCGCTGTACACGGGTTCAGGCTACGTGCCTTATCTGTGGCTGGCCCCCATGCCCCAGGGCCAGTGCCGAGATGACCATCACCCTTGTGGACTCTGCAGGATGTGAGCTCACTCTGCCTGAGGCCACACAGGGCACAGACACACCCTTCTCCGGCCCTGTGGCTCTAGGCCTTAGGGGACTGGAGCTTCCCCCAACAAGCCCACTGGTTGGAGGCCTGAGGCAGGAGGGGGAAGGGAAGAAGGGAACCACTGACTGCCACCCCTGCCCAGAACTCTCCCCACCTGCTGGCTTCGCCTTTGCTTTGCTGTCTCCCTTGGGGAACTTCAGGGAGCACCCCAGGCAGGATGTGCTGCCCTATTCAGACCTCAGGGCCTCCTTACCTGCTCTCAGGGAGTGGCCTATGTGCCAGTTGGCCAGTGTGAATGTGCACTGTGGCCTGTGGGCCTGGCTGCATTGAGAACAAGCCTACAGACATGGTCCAGTTCCAGGTCTGCAGAGGCTGTCACCCAGAATCACTGGGGCAGTCCCACCCCCCAGCGACAGCTGAATGTCCCTGACTCCCAGAACAGGCCCCCACGGGCAGGAGGAGGACCCTGCCTGGGAGCTGCTCGTCCCTGGCGGCGGGCAGGCTTCCGACCTCTAGCACTGTGAGAGAGGACATATCTGAGGCTGTGTGAAGTCTTTTGTTACAGCAGCCACAGGACACACAGTCTGGTTCGTGGCCTGGGGGGCCCTGAGCCTGGGGTGGTCGGACCAAGCTGCTGCATTCTAACAGGAGCCTGCGGTCCCAACAGCAACAGAGTTCATGGCCCTAGACAGTGTGTGGTCAGACTGCCATCCTCCACGAAGCTGAAATTGGGACCCCACGGGAATGAGGCTCTACAGCTACCTCACTCTTTGTGACCCACATGTGCCTGCTGGAGTTGGGAAGCAATCCAGCCTAGCAGATTCTCAGGTGTGGCCATGCGCAGGGCAGCGGCCAGCCAGCTTTCCTGAGGCTCAGTCCATCGCAGATCCTCCTGAAGGGAGTGACCAGGCTGGCCCTGAAAAGCCTGGGGTGCCTCTCTCTCCTCTTTCTGCACCTGTGTGTGGCAGACATACATCTGCTCTTGGTTCGACCCCGACTCTGCCAGACCCCCCACTTGGAGATGGCACCGCACAGGCTGAAGAAACTATCTCCTCATCACTCTTGCCTCCAGCCACTGGTGTGTCGCCTTGCTGTCACTTCAACAGGTACCAACAGTCTCTTTCCCATGTCTGCCTTACCCCAGCACCATGCTGGATTTGTCAGCCATGGTACCTTGTTCCATCCTCACAACCAAAACAAACATCATCCCCATTCCTCAGAGGGGAAAACTGAGGCCCAGG